CCCGCGAGACCATGTGATAAGTGTTTTGTACCTGAGAATTTACACATTAAACTGTTACAAGGACCCTGTGAACAAAAAGTTAGGAGACTTCTTTAAGGCTTTGTTCTCCTTGGCAGATCCTGCTATTCAGCCTGTTGCAAACATGTCAGTTTGTCAGACTTCAGCTGTCTGGTCAAAAAACATATACGAGACAAGTCATCTAGCGCCTCTGTTTTTCATCAAGGTTCTAGTGCATGACCTAGCTGTGGGATACCTGGATGATCTCCTGCCAATTGGTTCACAGGGGTGTGGAAATTTTGGAAAAAACTACTTGTCCAAGGACTAAAGTGGGGGCCGAATCTACTTGTCTTCATGACAATCTACTTGTCCTGATACAAAAAAAATTATTTTAACCAAAACCGTATTTAGCAGTGCTAAAAAGCGCTTCTCATTGGTCAGTGCCGTCAGGTGACCGCGTTGACCGAGTGCTTGCTATTAGCGAGCGAAATTCAGAATACATGGTACAGATGGTACACCCGTATTGGTGGACGGGAAGGACCGGTCGACGAAAGGTAAGTATAGTGGGAGGGAGATTTGTGCGGGTAATTCCATTTTCCCAAATTGGGAAAGTGAATTTACCCTTTTAGGGCTGGTGCAGACTTGGGCAATCCCGGGACGTGCGATCGTGTGCGGTTGCATACAGCGGTTGCATCCGCATGTTAGGGGTTTACATCTGCGTGGCAATCGCTGAAAAAAAGGTAGATGTACCTATTTTCACGACATGCACCGCACAGTGTTTTCAACCGTGATCGCCCGGGCGGTATTGCAGCAGGTAAACGACTGGGGTGGCATTAGAAAATAATGGCACTGACAGCACGATCGGCGGTGGTGTGAGATTCCGTGACCACCCAGCCATCTGCTCGATTTCGTGCACGATGACCGGGCAGCCACGGATCGCACACCACTGCCAATTGTGCTGTCAGTGCCATTATTTTCTAATGGCACCACAGCCTTGCCAGGCAGATTGAGCGTTTTCCTGCTGCAATACAGCCCTGCCCGTGCGGTTGCACACGATTGCAGTTGAAAACACTGCGCGTTTATTTGCGTGCAGATGGGGGCAGCGCGGCTGGTTTTCATTTTTTTAAATTTTTATTTACTTTTGGAAAACATTTTCATTTGTTTTTTTATTATTTTTACGTTATCGCCTTTTTATTTTTTACATTTTTATTTAGTTACGTTTTTTATATTTTTTACTTTTTTTTTAACTATTTATTTTTTAAACTTAACTGTATTGCTATTACACAGGGGTTAACAAATCCCCTGTGTGATAGCATTTGGAGGTGACAGGTACACTTTATTCAACCTGTCACCTCCAACACAGGAGTTCTAGCAGGCACTGTTGCTAGAACTCCTGTGTGACAGGAATGAGCAGCAGAGGCTGAGGGAGGTGACAGAGCCTGTCACTACTCCACGCCCCCCGCTCTGTCCCCGCTCTCGGCTCTCCACGCTCTGAGCGCTCCACGCTCCGTCCCCGCTCTGAGCGCTCCACGCTCCGTCCCCGCCCCCCGTTCTCGGCGCTCCCCGCCCCCCGTTCGCAGCGGCGCTCTCGGCGCTCATTTAAGAAAATATAAACCAGCCCTGCTACTTGTCCGTAGCAGGGCTAAAACAGTGTAAAAAGCACTTGCCCGGCGCCCGGAACTACATGTCCGGGGCGTCGGGCGATACGAATTCCACACCCCTGGGTTCCATACTCTGTCAGCCAATGCCCCATGAACAGTACAGACCCTGCAGAGTTGGCAGCATGGGACAAGCAGACGGTGTCTTTGGATCACCTTTATACGCCTGTCCAGCAGAACCAGGCATACTCTGGTGTGGTAGATTTCCAATCCAGTGCTGCAATTTAGTTGGACAATGGCCTACATAAACCAAAAGGGGGCGGGGGGGGGTAACCTGTAGTCTGAAAGACAGGGTTCCATCCTTTCCTGTGTAGGTCCACTTTACCAGATCCATGGGGCCTCATGGACTTTTGAGCATTAGGCACCTGTTAATTAGATTTGCAAAGCTGGCACCTGGTCCTCTGTTCACACATTTAAGTTCACACATTTAAGTTGGGTGGTCAGGCCGCGTATGACAACAGTTTCAGGCGTAAGGTTCTTCAAGCTGAGTTTTCTCAACCCCTTCTCTTCATACATGGGCTGGTCTGTGTTTGTTTCTATTTTGCCCACCCCCATTTGAACTGCTTTTGGCTGCCCCATGACCTAAGGCTACAAGATTCTGTGTCCTATAATGCACTACAAGAAAATGGGATTTTTTTCTTATTTGTAAAATCTTTTTTCTTGGCGTAGTTAGTCCCTCCCCTTTTTCCCTTTTTTTTCTTATGATTCTACATGATTGCTACAAAACTGAGGCTTGCTGGTAGTTAGGGGATTATATTAAGGCTGTCCCACAGCTTTGTTTGCATGTGTCCAGTCACCTGAAGGCAGTATCATGTAACCCAATGTCTAAGATTACAAGATCCTGTCACCAGCTTATGCCATACGTCGTTGGCAGCAGGCCACTTTAAACAGATTCCCGGCGGCTGTAGCTTTACACTGAAAGCAATTCTATCAGCTAAGCTGCCACCAGATTGCTTCCAGGGGCCAGTAAACAGAGCCACCCCCCCAACACCCCCGTCTTGCTTACTGAGTTCCGCTGCCCAAGGCTGGCATCACGAGTGTTGGCAGGAAAGGAGACTGACGAACATCCGTTTTTTTATATGTGAGGATCAACATCCGAGGATTATAACGTGTACAGAATACGCCTTGGCAATGAAAGGGTTAACGAATGAGCACTATATTTAGGATTCCTAAATATGCATATGTGACCCTAGTAGTCCCATATCATCACACAGTGATGATAACCTGCTTTACGGTTATTGCAGGATTTTGATAACAATAGATTTAGTAATGCCAACAACGGCACCCAAGTACAACAATTTTTTTTGGGGGGTGGGTGCGGGGCAGTGGTTTCTTGCACCGGGTCCTTATGGTTTCTAGTTACTCCTCTGCTTTATTCCATGGTAAACAGAGAAAGGTGCTCTGTTGACTATGGAAAAAATAGTGAATGTCACTTTGCTTGTGTCAGTTTCAACCTATTTCACGACAAATTGGAAATCTGTGAAAAAAAGTTTAAGAGAATAAACACTGCCCATGATCAGTGATCAATTAAACATTTAAAATAAAATTGCATAAAAACATTGGGTATATTCCAAGATGACAATGCCATGATTCATCAGGCTCAAATTGTGAAAGAGTGGTTCAGTGAGCAAGAGAGATCGATTTCACACATGGATTGGCCACCACAAAGTCCAGACCTTAACCCCAATAAGAATCTTTGGGATGTGCTAGAGAAGACTTTAAAGGAGAACTATGGGGTTCTATTTTTTTATTAATGCATTCCTTAGGCTAAATAAGTAAATAATGTAGTTTACTCTAATTAGCCAAAATGCACAGTAAGGAGGTAAACCCTTATTTAAGATGGTGGGCGGGGCTAAGCGCCGCAATGAGAAGACATCCCGACGTATCTGACGGGATCCTCCCCACTGATGACTGACAGTGATTCTTGAGAGCTGCTGCGCGTCCACGAATATATGGACATGCGCAGCAGCTCTCTCCTTACCTGCACGTCCCCGTGTGCCAGCTCCTTCCCCCCCTCCTCTCTCTCTCCCTGCTGACACTGACATACTAAAATGATCGTGGATCGCTGATGACGGAAGGAGCTCTCTCTTCAGCATTTACTACACATGGGAAAGTCCATATATGGTAAATGATGTCACTGGAGATCCCTGCTGATCGGATCCGGATTACTACAGAAGATCAGCAGGGATCTCCAGTGACATCATTTACCATATATGGACTTTCCCATTTGTAGTAAATGCTGAAGAGAGAGAGAGAGCTCCTTCCCCTTTGTCATCAGCGATCCACGATCATTTTAGTATGTCAGCGTCAGGGAGAGAGAGAGAGGGGGGAAGGAGCTGGCACACGGGGACGTGCAGGTATAGAGAGAGCTGCTGCGCATGTCCATATATGTGTGGACGCGCAGCAGCTCTCAAGAATCACTGTCAGTCATCAGTGGGGAGGATCCCGTCAGATACGTCGGGATGTCTTCTCATTGCGGCGCTTAGCCCCGCCCACCACCTTAAATAAGGGTTTACAGCCTTACTGTGCATTTTGGCTAATTAGAGTAATTACATGATTTACTTATTTAGCCTAAGGAATGCATTAATAAAAAAAAGATAGAACCCCATAGTTCTCCTTTAAGCAGTGGTCCAACTCTCCCATCATCACTACAAGATCTTGGTGGAAAATGAATACACCTTGGAGATAAATAAATGTTGTGACATTGCATAAGCTTATCAAAACAATGCCATGGGGAATGCATGCCATAATCAAAGCTAAAGGTGGTCAAACAAAATATTAGAATGTGTGACTTGTTTTTGGCCACGTAGTGTATTGGGCATGGCTATATATACAGGTGAAACTCGAATAATTAGAATATCGTGCAAAAGTAAGTGCTGCAAAAGGGGCACAAACCAAGTACTGAGTACATATGCATGCTTGTACTTTTCAGAGTTCTGATATTGTTCTATGTACAATCCATGTTTTATTGATTGCATGTAGTAATCTACTTTTTTGAGGTTGTGGATTTGGGGTTTTCATGAGCTATAAACCATAATCATCACAATTATGACAAATCACGGCTTGAGTTATCTTGCTTTGCATGTAATGAGTCTATCTCATATATTAGTTTCACCTTTTTAAGTTGCATTAGTGAAATAAATGAACTTTGCACGATTATTCTAATCGAGTTTCACGTGTGTGTGATATATATATATATATATATATTGTATTTCTGTCACATATATGTTGGCAAAGCTTATATATATATATATATATACACACACACACACACACACACACTACAGAGAGCCCTGTATACCAAAGACCATAAAATACCGCACAAAATTTAAATTTATTTTCCAGGTGTCGGAGGGAACCTTGTAGCTGTTCAGGCCAGCCGCATATCTACTTACCTCCACATGACTGGGTCCCTTGGAGAGGACGCTGTACTTAAACCTTGCAAGTTTCCCAATCCTTGTAGAACCTTCTTCAGCTCTGGTATGTTAGAGGCAAGATGCCATGTGAATTCTGACAAAAACAATTTGCTAATGTTTTGCATAATTGCACATTTTGCATTGGTGTTTTTGCTTGTAACTGCTGCAGATTAAAAAAAGTATGTGATTTTTATTGAAGGTAGATACAGCTCCTATATCCAGCAAATGGGAAGGTTGGCTGCAGAGTCTGTCAATTTTTGCAGTTCAGACACAATTTGTTTAAAGTTGTATGCTTGTCTATAAGCCAGCGTTTCTTAACCTTTTTATCAGTCGCCAAGTTTTTAAAAGTATGCAAAACCTCAAGGCACCCCAGTCTAAAATGTAAAAAACATAACAGAGCAGAGTAATACAGGGATTAGAAAGATTAAATGTAAACAAAATGCCAGACCAGACGGATTACACCCCAGGGGAATCTAAAGGAACTTAGAAAAGTCATAACCAGACCCTTTTACAACATTTCTATGGGCAGTATAATGACAGTATGGTCCGGGCTGATTGGCAGAGAGCAAATGTACCAATATTCGAAAAGGGGAAAAGAAGTGCACCGGGAAACTACAGGCCTGTCAGCTTGAACATCAATACTGTGTAAAATATTTGAAGGCATGATATGGGACCACATGCAGGAATTTACAAATAAAAACTGGTATCATAAATGGTAACCAACATGGTGTCATGAAAGATCGTTCTTGTCCGACCAATCTATTAACATTTTATTAAGGAAGTAAGTACTTAATTAGACAAAGGAATAACAGTAGACATGGTGTATCTGGACTTTGCTAAAGCATTCGACACCGTACCCCATAAACATAGGTCTAGATGAAATGGTATATACATGGGTGGAAAATTGGCTGCAAGAACAGACCCAGAGGGTAGTGATAAATGGGTCATTCGCTAATTGGGCAAGGGTTGGGAGTGGGTTGCCGCAGGGTTCAGTCCTGGGACCGATCCTGTTCATCTAATTTATCCATGATATAGAGATTGGACTAAATAGCTTAATTTTGTTTTTTTGCGGATGATGCTTAACTCTGCTGAGCAATATATTCCGAACAGGAGATATTTGCACTTCAACAGGATCTAAGCAAAATTGAGGCATAGGCTACAAGATGGCAAATGGGATTTATTGTTGAAAAATGTTAGGTTATACACATGGGCGTAAAGAACATGTCCGCAAACTACTACTTTGGGGGGTTACTTTAGGGAAGTCAGAAATAGAAAAATACCTGGGGGTCCTCATAGATCAGATTTGGCAATAGCTAGGGCGGGTGCAATAGCTAGCTTGCTATTGCAAAGTGAAATGGCCAATAGGAATCTAGCTATGCATTCCTACGGTGTTTTTTTTTTTTCTTCTGACTGACGGCGGCCTGCGGCCCCGATGTCAGAAAAAAAGAGCAGAGAAAGGTTTACTCTGCTCGATCGAGCAGAGTAAACCTTTCCGGGAGAAAGTGTTTCTCTCCCGGGCGGGCGCCGCTAGTCAACCTCTGACAAATAGTAAGTTGACCCCCAACGGAGTCGCGACCCACAGGTTGAGAACCGCTGCGTTAGAGCAAGATAAATACTCGCATGCATATGTTGAACTGGATGGACCCTGGTCTTTATTCAACCTTACATACTACGTTCCTCCAAAGTCCATACCAAACCTTTATCCTAGATAGGGGCCTGGTATGGATTTTAGGGGGGACCCCATGCAATAACACACAAAAAAAATCACATCCCCTTTAAATCAGGATCCCCCCTAACATCAAGGTCCCCCTTTCCTTTATGAGTTTCCCTTCACATCAGGCACTCCCTGTTTTTGCATCACAGGACCATTACAGAAAAAAGTTAGGCAGAGTAGTGACTGGAGTGAGAAATCACGAAGTATCACGGAGTGGCAAAAACGCCGAGTTGGAAGCTGTCTAGGGAAAAAAAAGAGAGGAGGCCGAGTGTGATGGGATAGTGGTAAAAGGGGCAGAAAGATGATAAATATGGATGGGGGAGTGACATCTTATCGGGGGGAGAAAGGAGGGGGGTGTAGCCTCATCATATGTGGAGAATGAGGAAGACCTATAAGAGAAGCTACTGTAGAAAGTAGGGTAAATACGATGTAGAGAATGAGTGGAGAGCTGGCGGGGAAAAAGTTGCTAGAGAATATAGCATGGACAAGAGATGAGCCTAGGCTTGGTGTGAACCCAGTTTCTCTGCCTTTACCCAAGCCCAAAAATGCATCCGCCACTTTCCCCTCCTTGCCCAATCAGCTTTTGCAGTGGGGCAATCCCTGCCCCTTTTGTGACAAATAGCTGCGGGATAGGAAATGCGCCTCTCCACAAGTGATTGGGTCGGGTGGCAGGCACAGTTTCCCATGTGCATCACTAGAGAGGAATAATTGCTACAGTACATAATTTGGGTTAGGTGGTTAATGAGCCGGCAGAAAACCTAGTGTGGATGGCGGGGAGAGCTGCCAGAAAATGTAGTGTGCACAATAGGGGGATAAATGCCAAGTAGTATAGTGTGGATGGGGAGAAGGGGAAAGGGCAGAGCACAGTGTGAAGTGAAGGATATGCTAGAGAAGATACAGTGGGGGAAAATCTGCCAGAAATGGCATTGTACCAATGTGGGATGTATTGCAGGCACAACATTAATTCTTGCAGAGCATTGCAGTGTGCATACTACTGCTGTAGACACAGATGATTGAAGAATGTGTCTAGCAGAGTTTTGACAGTACTGGGTGAACTATGCATGTGTGCTGCATTGCCGTGTAAGATTCTGGAAGAAATTGGGTCTGAGGAGCCATGCTTTCCTGCTACATTACCTATAGTGGTTCAAAACGTCAGCAGTGATTCTTCTTCTTCTCCTTTTTTTTTTTTTTTTTTTTTTTTTAAAATGCCAAAGGGAAAGGTTTAAAAATCACCTGTCCTGTAAGCTGGACAGGGCTGTTAATCATGTGTTGTGACCAGCTGTCCCAAATGGATTACTCTGACCTGGCTTCTACTTTATATTAATGAATAGTCACAGCATAGGTTTACAAAGAAGTTGCATAAACTCTAATTTTATTTTTCATTTCTTTAACTAGATGTGAACTCCCGTTCAGCACGTGTCCTTTTTCTGATGGTTGTGCCTGGACATCTAATTTTCTTGTATACCATTAACTCCATGCAGGGTGGTCATACTACTATGACTCTGATCTTCATGGTCTTCTATATGATGACAGCACTGCTACAGGTACATATAGTATTAGGTAGATACCCATAGATAACATGTTTTGTAATAACATGGTTTCTATATATTTTTCCTTCAACTAGTAATAGTTGTGTGAATAATAGCTGTGTGGATTTGTCTTTTGCTTAAGATTATGCCATGTGGGGATTTCCTAATGTGCAATAATAAGTATTTTACTGCCTTAAGTACCTGTTGTGTACTTTATCATCATACAAGCTGGTCTGTTATTGGTTGGCATGGCCAAACTGTGTGCACCATGGAGGTCTTTTTTATTTCTAACTGTACATATGCAGCCCAAAATAGTGGCAGGACAGCTGATATCGACACTTTTATTAGAGGAAGAATAGGCTGAGGAAAGAGCCAACAAGCATCATAGAGTATAACTTCATTGTAAGAACCAAATAAACCTAAAAACAACTCTAACACTGATGTGCGTATATGTTCACACAGAAGACACAATTCATATCAGTAAAAGTGAAAAATAGAAATAATTTTCAAAACATATCCCGAGTGATATAAACCTTCATATACAGTATACTTCAGGTCTTAGCCTGTGTATGCACCCAGTGAGATTCCACCACATAGTGTGTGCAAACTCTCCAGAGCTGCTTGACCTTTTATTAAAGAAGGCCAGAAGCATGAGGGATATAGAAATGACATTCCCAATATTGACCAACATCTGCAGGGTCCAGAGGTTCACAGTTATAGAGAGGAAAAAACCCCACAGGGTGTACTTTTTGTTAAAATTAATTTTTTAAAAAGAAAATATACACTTGAGCAGACAAAATCTGGAGCAGCTGTGCATGACAACCAATCAGCTCCTTTCTTTTTCAACAAACTGAAGAGAAGCTGATTGCCATGCATGGCTGCTCCAGTTTTGATAAATTTCCCCCAATGTATACCTGTCTGGTACCGTGAGAGAATGGTTTTAGGCACACACTGCAAGATGATTGAAGTCCAGTGTGAAGTTTCCACAGTCTGTGTTGATTTGGGGAGCCATGTCCTCTGCTGGTGTTGGCCCACTGTGCTTCATTAAGTCCAGGGTCAACGCAGCCGTCTACCAGGAGATTTTGGTGCACTTTATGCTTCCTTCCGCAGACAAGCTCTATGGGGATGCTGACTTCATTTTCCAGCAGGACTTGGCACCTGCCCACACTGCCAAAAGCACCAAAACCTGGTTCAATGACCGTGCGATTACTGTGGCCAGCAAACTCGCCTGACCTGAACCCCATAGAGAATCTATGGGGCATTGCCAAGAGAAAGATGAGAGACATGAGACCGAACACATGAGGTCATAGACTGGCAGACCGGTGATAGGAATAGAACAAGGATAGTTTTAAAGATTTTATAGTATTCAGTCGATAGACCGTCTGGACCTGGAGATTTGCCGTTCGGTGAGAAGTAAATCGTCTGATAAATTTCCTCAGTCGTAAAAGGGGAGTTTCGTTTGTATAAAGATTCAGGAGGAATCTGGGGCAGATAAATCGCATTTAGGAAGCCAGCAATGTCTGATGTAGTAGGTTGAGACGCAGTATGAACATCTTGAAGATTATATAAAGATTTGCAATAAGCACTAAATTGATCAGCAATTTCTTGGGGATGAACAACTTTTTCACCATCACAGAATGCAAAAAAATTATGTTTTGTAAGGCGTCTGTGATCTTTGAGTCTTAGCCAAATAAGTTCCTGCTTTATTACCAGTGGAGTAGTAATATAGTTTAAGTCTTTAGGATTGCCGATCAAATTGTGCAAGGCGGCAAAGTCTCAAGTCATATCTAAGTTTTTTTTTTTGTTTTTTTTTAATTGTGCTGCTAGTGTCGGATGAGGATTGAGCTTGAAAAAAACAACTAGTGACAATAAACTGTTAGGGCTGTACACATTCCCTATTCTACCCAAAACTTAAGAAAAAGAAATTGTGGCTATGCAAGGAAACTCTACAATATCAATAACCTAACAACTGGTCTAAGCCTAGGACTACACTGTAATAAATCTTCACTGCTGAGAGATTTAACTGCGTGTTGACATTTATTTTCATCCTGTACATTATAGTTACTATTGCATTAATTTGAAACAATGTTCAGTAAAGTCAAGGAAGGGTACATTGTTTTGTGTGTTAAAGAAAATGATATTTGACTATTATTGTGACTTAGGTGAAAATTAAACTACATTATAGGAACCAGGTCTGCAGCAATTTGGGGTTCACAAACTTTTTTACAATCTCCTTTTTATTTGCATGAAATTGTCCCACAGAACCATGCTGATTAATTTGGCCTGTTGATTAAATTAAGGTGAGATCATTTTAAGGCTTCGTTTCCAGTTTTAATTGATCTTTTTTTGTTATAACAGGTTGTGGTTCTCCTGTACATTGCAGACTGGATGGTCCACTGGATGTGGAACAGGGGGCTGGATCCTGATAACTTCTCAATTCCCTATCTTACTGCTCTTGGTGATCTTCTGGGTACTGGCCTCTTAGCCCTTAGCTTCCATGTGCTTTGGTTAATTGGAGACCGGGACAGTGATGTTGGAGACTGAGCCTTTTCGTCACTGGATAATTTTTGCTCTGTTATTCAGTAAACACTATGGGGACCTTCCTACGGCCTAAAGGATCCAAATGAGGACAATCGGCAATTAGTGCAGAGCAACCTGTTTTCTAAATGGTTCTAACTATATCCTTTTTTTTTTTTTTTTCCTGCAAAACGTAGGCCCTGTACACTCTTTCTGTCTTACACACACTCATTAGATCTGCTGCTAAGAATTGCCTCCCACTCTTTTATACTACAAGCATTCTAAAGCTCTTACCTTGCATTTTAGCAGCAGCAATGAGCAAGTGTGGTCTTGTATTTTTGTTTTCAGCTGTGCTACTGCAATAAGACATTTTTTTAAATCACGCTAGAGGTCACACCCTGCTGTGGTAAATTAAAACTTCTGCAAAGACTACAGAAGCTTACTTCTAAAACTGGCTACAGCTGCATACCTCTATGGGTTTGGCTTATCAGAATCTTTCCTGACCATCCCTACATATTGAGAAGCAACATGCCTGTTCTTGCAGGACTTGTATATAAATGGAAAAACACTGTTTTACAAAAGGTCAGATAACAGAGTATTTATTACTTGTATTGCACAGGGTGATGCTTTAAGGGGTAAGGCACAAAGTCTGTATATCAACCACCACCTTGTTGGAAGTAATTTTCTTTTTCCACCAATGGAGATGGTGAATATAGCATCTTACAAAATGGGAGGAAAATGCAAAAATTACACATTTAAATGATTGCTGCCTGCATGTATATTTCTGTCCATAAAAGTGGCAGCTGCTGCGCTTTTGTCACAGCGATGCTTTTAATATTATTAGCCTTAGGTTCTAATATTTGCTAATTTTCTAACACCCAACTCTGTGATGAGGTGCACTTTTCCTAACCTCTTGCATTGTACTGTATTTCACCAGGGCTGTGAGTTGTAGCATGGTTACATTTAAAAAAAAAAAAAAAAAAAAGGTCAAATAAACCCTATTAATTAGCACCAGCTGAGTGCTTAACATATCCATTAGCAAAGTTTCATGGGTACAGTACAGTTATTTTGTTATCACTCATAGCCTTTCAAAATAAAGGATACATATTTATTCAGTTGTGGGTGTGAGAACCAAAGTTCTCATACCCACACAAACTGGAGACTGAAAGGCTGTTTGTCAATTAACTGGCATATGTGAAACTTTCCAATATGGCAGACTGTAATCTGTTGTGTCCTATGAGTGATGGAAAAAAATGACTGTACTGTACCCATGAAACTTTGCTAATGAATCTGTTAAGCACTTAGCTGGTGCTGATTAATACGGTTTATTTGACCTTTTTTTAAAGATAACCATGCTACACACAGCCCTGGTGAAATGCAGTACAATGCAAGAGGTGTTGAAAAGTGCTGCTGCTAAGGTATTTTAGAAGTGAGCAAGAAACGAATATATACATAATGAGCATGCAACCAGTAGGGTAAATTATCCATGTTTTAATTCTGCCTGCCTTTTAGCTCTTTCATCCTGCAGCATTAATATATATTTTCAGGAAATGTTTGAATTTCAGGGGTGCATTACCCACATCCCAGATAAACAGGTTGAGTTGGGCTGATTTCTGAAAAGTAGAGCAAAGTAAAAGATCAAGTGTGCCCAATAACCTTCAGGGTTCTAGAATAATTGCGTTAAAGTTAATACATAAGCCTAAGAACCATTTTATTATTGTACGCAGTAGCTCACTTTTTCCATTGACCTCTATGATGAAGCCCAAGGGATGACATGCGTAAGTGTTTTGCACATGAAGGAGTGGTTTGATGGTGTACACTGATGATTTTTGGCAAAGATTGATTTTATGTATGAAGAGCCGTGGAGCGCGGCTGATTTGAATATTCAGCTCCATTTTTCAGTTATTTATATAAGAAATCTCTTCTGAAAATAATTCTCCCTCGTGGTTTTTCGCCTTGCAGCATCTATTTTAGATTGCAAATGGCTTACTGATTTCAAGCCTGTAACTGGTAATTTTGCACTGTTTTCTTGGTGGATTATCTCTTGAATAAATTAACATTGGGTTCCTGCTTCTGTTATTCTTGTCACTAGGCTGGTGTTTGATTTGTGCTAGATTTTAGAGAAATCTGTATTGCTGCCTGATAATTCAATCTTTATATAATCTTTCTTTTATTTTTCCTTTTCCACCCAGTCCTGCAGATGGCTTTTGTTCTGGGTGTGGCTCCATTCTCTTGCTGCTTCCCATGAAGCTTTTCATAAGACGCTGCACCCATGCACATGCAGCCCGACGTCTTTAGAAAGACCTCCTCAGGTGATTGACAGCGGCTCCCGTATATCTCCGTATGGTAGTTTGTTTTTTTTAAACAAACTTTATTTCAAATTTACATGTTACTGTTTATTCATTTAAAATTTCACAAAGAACTACCTTGCAGAGGTATATACGGGAGCAAGGTGTTTCTAATGATGTTGGGCTGCCTCTGCGTGGTTGCACAGGCAATGTCTTTAGAAAGCTTGTGGTTCCGGACATGGGAGTGCGCACTAGAGGTTGGCTCCATAGGAAGCAGCAAGAGAATGGAGCCATTTGCAGCACTGGGGCGAAAAGGAAAAAAAAAAGATTTACATGCATTTTTTTTTTTTTAATCTGTGAAGCGTTAATGTCACTTTAAGGTGACTTGCATAATAAAGTATTTGACAATTTCTGGTCTTTTGGTACATTTACGTTAAATATGAAAATACCAAACAGTAACACAATTGTAAATGGTTTTTAATAAGCCTAGAAACAAGAACAAAGGAAAGTATAATGTGTAAGTATAAACAGTTTACTCAAAATATAATGTTTTTGGTTTTTATGTGGGGATTCCAAGGAAAAAAGAAGCAAGGTATGCAAAGAATAAAAAGCAGGCAATTATCTATAAGCATGCGTTTGTAGTTTGCATTTACTAGACATTTCTAAAGGTACCTTTTTGTTCTGACGATATTGGTAAAGTTGCTCTTTAAGGCATTGCAGCATCTATATTTTCTTTGCATTAATATTAACTGTTGTAATAAAAATGATTTGTTTATAAAAAATAAAGATATTTAATACATGCTATCAAATTTTGGGTCTCCGTTTTACAAACGATGCAAAATGGTTGATCCCTTACCGATCGTCCATTGCAAATTAATAATCTTAATTACACAAATTAATATCTGTAATTCCCTGATTACAGGTGAACATTTTACACACCCTCATAAGGGCAACCAATTTCAGATCAGAGTACTACAATTGCAATACCGACTTTTGCGTGTATTTGCTCAAATGTGCCTGTGCCCTTGTCTATGTTGGTAAAACCATCGTCCCCTTCAAAAGGCGTTTCCAGTGACAGGGTCACTCTAGCCAAACTTTCCAAAGGAGGAAAGATTGATAAACTAAACCAGTAGCGGTGCATTTTGCACAACACAAACAGCAAACACATGAATTAAGAGGAATGTTCCTTGACCACGTCAAGGCACCCCTTCTAGGGGGCAATAGAGAGAAAAACCTGTTACGCAGAGAGACGTATTGGATTTACAATCTGATATGGTCACTCTGAAAGGTCTTAATATTAACTTGTGGTACACTTGTTTCTTTTCAGACAAATGATTAGAATTAGTGGGTTATACCGTCTTTGTTAATATTCTGCTCTTTTGAATATTCCTGCTTTCATTTACCCCATGGGTGGACATAACACCATGGGGTTATTACTTTCTATTATTTGCTCCCCCCTTCATTGACTTACATGTTCCTACAATTTCCAGTTGCACCACGTTTGGGATGCACTTGAGCTATAGCCTGTACGCAGCATGATGACATGCATCTATAGTGGGAATGCATGTCACCAGATTATTTCTCCATATTTTTGAATTTTTTATTTTTCTTAAACCTAATCTCAGACTAACTATTACCAGAGCCTAGGGGCGCTCCTCATCACATTATCTACAGTTTTTTACTGTTATAGGTTTGATTATATGTATAATTATAACATATTAGTGAGAGCAAGCACACGCGCGCGCAGCAGCATGGGTGACGAGAGACGCCGAGAAGACGGGAGAGAGGACGGCAGAGGCGGCGGGACCGAGGGTCGGGACCAGGGGTCGGCGGGAACGGAGGCCGGAGGACAGCGGGACAAGCCCGAGGACCAGATGTCACAAATGACAAGGAGAGGGCCGAAGTACTAAACTCTTTCTTCTCCTCAGTATACACTCAGGAGGGAAACGGATTTGATGCCCCTGATAAAACACCTAGTTCATCACAAAACAGCCATGTGGTTGACAGAACCCGGGATACAACAAAGATTTTTACACACACACAATAGGTTGGACTTGATGGACATGTGTCTTCAACCTCAAATACTATGTAACTATGTAACATCCTATGGTATTTATACAATGATTGTCATTCTTGGCGATCACAATGTCTTAAGACTGATATGTGTTGGACCCCTTCCTTTGGCACAATAAACTTGTGTGTTTTTAATTTTTTTCATTTAAAATTGTCCTGCACATGGCAAGTCGTACTGCCCGTGCAGGCACCACAGTTCCCCACATCATTATGGACAACTGGGCGTCACCAACGACACTTGGTTACCACCCATGCCCTTGTTCTACACATGTGAGGCGGTACCGGTGACATGCTTTTGGCGTGACTGACAGGTCCAGAGGGGAGGTTATAACCGCAGTGATCGACTATTTCTGCATTTCACATTCAGTAAGGTGGTATAAGTTGATCCTTAGTAGGAATGTGATATTTGCTACTTTGAACATCCTTTTGGTCATTAGTATGATTATGACCTCTAAAAACAATTGGAGGGAATGTGAAATCATGGTAGCGAGGGTGGAGTTTGTATGTTCCATTGTGGTTTTTTTTGCCTGCACTTGTGTATATATTGTGATAATCACACTGCACATGTATCACTTTGTTTTGCCTGATGACGGAACATGATGTGTTTGGAAACGTTGCTACACTTAGTGATGTAACTTTACATATGGAATAAAAAGAACGTTGCTT